ATGGTTTTGGCAATGAATTTTTGGGAAGAGGAAATACAGTAGGAGAAGGTGGGAGGGTCTTTGCCAAAGAACCCTTGGGAAGAGGAACAGGAGAAGGTTCTTTGCCAAAGAATTCTTGGGAAGAGAAAATAGGAGAAAGTGTGATGGTCTTTGCCAATTAATTTTTGGGAAGGGGAAATACAATAGGAGAGGGTGGGATGGTCTTCGCCAAAGGATTCTTGGGAAGAGGAAATAGGAGAAGGTTCTTTCCAAAGAACTCTTGGGAAAATGAAATAGGAGAAGGTTCTTTTTGAAGAACTCTTGGGAAGAGGAAATAGGGTAGGGTGGGACGGTCTTTGGCAAAGAACCCTTGGGAAGATGAAATAAAATAGGAGAGAATAAAGACTGAAGAGTCTGGGAAGAGTCTTGGAAATCTTTTCCAAGCTCAGAGATTCCATGAGAGCCCTGTGTGTGCTGGGGCGAGGGAGGAGAGTTTTCCCGTGGATGTTTATTTGGGAATTTTAACTGGTCAAGTTGCCAAAGCCCCCGGAAGCCCCACCTGGGGCTTCACTTCGTGCCCTGAAGTTGTGGGAGAGGCTGTTCAGAGCGGTGAAGGAGCTGGACCTGCCCCTGCTCCACCATCCCTGAGGTTCTCCCGTGCTCCAGGAGGAGCTGGAGGTGGTTCAGGCTGGAAGGGAGATGGATCTTACCTGGGGTAGGACCCCAAGCCACTCTGTAGCCGGTGGCTCCGGCGACGGAATCCCAGGAGAGCAGGAGGCTGTTGGTGGAAATCTCAGTCACGTTCAGCATCCGGACGGTGCTCGAGGCCACTGCGGGAGAGAAGAGTCATCCCCTTGGATCCAGGTCCCAACAGCTTCCAAAAAAATAGGACAGGGTGGGGTGGTCTTTGCCAGAGAACTCTTGGGAAGAGGAAACAGGAGAAGGTTCTTTCCAAAGAATTCTTGGGAAGAGGAAACAGGAGAAGGTTCTTTCCAAAGAACTCTCGGGAAGAGGAAATAGGAGAAGGTTCTTTCCAAAGAACTCTTGGGAAGAGGAAATAGGAGAGGGTGGGATGGTCTCCCAAAACTCCTGGAAGGACTTCAAGAGAACAACTGTAGATCCCAAATCCCGCCCAGGCCACAGAAGGGCTTTGCCATGGGATGAGGACAGGATGGAGCACCAGGATGGGCCTGGCTCCAAGCCTGGTGAGATCCGGTCGTCACATCCCGGGGAAACGCATCCCAAAAGATCCCCAGTGTGGCAAACAAAGCTCTCCCTGAGTTCTGGGATGGATAAGAAAAGACAGGCAGGGTGGTGGCAGCAAATTCCAGCACAGCCTGACCCCCACCCCGTGTGTCTGTGAGAGCTGGATCCCAATCCTGATCCCAATCCCAATCCAACCCCTCCCGCAGGACACTCACCCGTCGTCGCGTTCCCGCTCCGCACCGGTCCCTCGACATTCCCGAAGATGGGGTTGATGGTGACCGTGTATTCCACGCCGGGATGCAGCCCCTGGATCATGTAGTGGCTGTAGGTGCTGCTGAGGTTCACGTCCTGGATGCTGCCCTCTGGGAAGGGAAAGGGGGTTGGGTTCCCTTGGGATGGATCCAGGAGGACCACCCTGCTGGGATCACCCCAAAGAGAACCACCCTTGGGAAGGGAAGGCAGGAATAATCCAGGGAATCCTCACTGGTCACCAACAGATCAAGGCAAGTCAGGGCTTTGCAGGATAGAGGGAATAAATCCAGGAAAACCCACAAATGGGGCTGTGGGTGGTCCCACAAGTGGCCCCTCAGCACCAACCCCTCGACATTCCCAAGGGATGAAGCCCCTGGATCATGGAGTGGCTGTAGGTGCTGCTGAGGTTCACGCCCTGGATGCTGCCCTCTGGGAAGGGAAAAGGGTTTGGGTTCCCTTGGGATGGATCCAGGAGGACCATCGTCCTGGGGTGACCTCCCTTGGGAAGGGAAGAGGAAACGGGAGAAGGTTCTTTCCAAAGAACTCTTGGGAAGAGGAAACAGGAGAAGGTTCTTTGCCAAAGAATTCTTGGGAAGAGGAAATAGGAGAAGGTTCTTTGCCAAAGGATTCTTGGGAAGAGGAAATAGGAGAAGGTTCTTTGCCAAAGGATTCTTGGGAAGAGGAAATAGGAGAAGGTTCTTTCCAAAGGATTCTTGGGAAGAGGAAACAGGAGAAGGTTCTTTGCCAAAGGATTCTTGGGAAGAGGAAATAGGAGAAGGTTCTTTCCAAAGGATTCTTGGGAAGAGGAAATAGGAGAAGGTTCTTTGCCAAAGGATTCTTGGGAAGAGGAAATAGGAAAAGGTTCTTTCCAAAGGTGGGATAGAGGGAATAAATCGCATAAAACCCACCAATGGGTACATCTGGGGGTGTGATCCATCCCAAAAGAGGGTCCACGCTCCGGGTGACTCCGTGCTGGGATCATCTTGCCTTTCCCCCTCGGAGCCAAACGATGCCTCAAACCCGTTTTTTCCTTTCATTTAGTCCTTGTTGGGCCCTAAACCCGGCTCAGTTAAACCTCCCAGCACGGCAGGAGAGGAGCTAAAGCCTAATCCCTATTTCCCAGGGGCCGGCAACGGGATGTGGGGATTTTTGGGACGGGGAAGGTGCCTTTTCCAGTTCGGACACTGGAGGGTGCCACATTCCCGTCTTCTGCTCCCTGAGCCCCATCCCCCTTCCCCCACCTCCCTCTGGAGCCGCTCCCACAGCTCGGGCCGTTTATATTTATTTAATCGCCGTCTTAATAATCAAAGAAATACAAAATTAAACCCCCTCCAGCGCTTTGGGATGGGCAGAAGGTGCCCAGATCCCGACATCCCTGCATCCCTAATGCAAGGCCCCGGGATGGGAAGAGGATCCAGAGGCCAGAGTGGGCTGCCCCTTGGGATTTTAGCACGCCTGGAACTGGGATTAACTGGTACCAGGTGAATGAGAAAATCCAGACTGGAAGGGATGTGCCCTTCCTGCTTCATCTGAGGGTGTCCCTATCCCAAAAATATTCCTGGCTGGGCACACAGTTGAGATATTAAACATGGACTGGGAAACCAGCTGGATTTTGGGGCGTGTCATGACTTTTTTTTCCAGAGGGAAGTGGATTGCAAAGCAATAAAAGCAGTTTAATGTCTTCCCCGTAAAGATTTTTCCCCTCCTGGTGACCTTTTTGGAGCCGTTCTCCAACCAAACCATTCCCAACTCTCCTTGTGGGAGACGTCTCCTCGTATCCCAACCAGGAGGGAATGTGCTGGTTATTCCAAGCCTGGCGTCCTGACATCCCATCTCAGCCCTGAGCCAGGGAAACCCTCCACCTCCCAAGGCCAAAAAAATGCCAAACCTGAATTTCTGACTCTACAACAACCCCGAAAACCCGTTTGGGTTCAGGGCAGGGGAGAAGAAGCTCCAGCTGCAAACTCACATCCGGCTCCAAACACCCAAATCTCCCTAAAAAATGAGGATTGTGGGGATGAAGGGAAGTTTAGTGCCACGGAGAGAACAGAAATAACCACGGGCACTTCCAGTCTGTCCTCCAAAAAGAGGGGTGACCCCAAAGCTCGGGGTGATCCCAAAGCTCACCGTGTGACGTGCAGTTCCCGAGGGAGCGTTTTCCCAGCTTTAACCCCTTCCCAAGGCTACCCAGCTCCGGGAAATCCCACACTAATCCCATGGAACAAGGCTGTGGATCCATCAGCCTGCTTTATGAGCAGGAATTGTTGCATCCAGGACCGTTTTCCACCAAATTCCATGGCAGAACTCTCCGTTGGAAGCTGCCGGTTGATCCCCGCGTGCGGAAAACTCCACCCCCAAAATCCTGATTTTCTCTTTCCACGGCTGGACAACGAATGTGCTGGTGCTTCCAATGCCTTGGAGGCCTCCCAGCTCCCTTTTCTCCACCCCCTGCATCCATCCCCATCCCTGTATCCCACCTGCTGATGTCCAGGTGAGCCTGTATCCCGTCGCTCCCCGGACCGGGCTCCACCTCGCCTGGAGCGTGTCCGTGGTTTCGTTCTGCAGCCAGAGGTTTTCCACAGGCAGGAGTTTCACTGGAAGGAGGACAGGGAAGAAAAACCACTTGTCAGAGGGAGGACTTTGCTGGCTCTGGTGGGGAGAACCAGAACCAGTTCAGCCGTCTGAGGGAAATCCCTGGGAAAGAGGAGCCGGGTGGGATTCGGGCTCCTCTCCCAGGGAACGAGGGACAGGGCGAGGGGAAACGGCCTCAAGTTGTGCCAGGGGAGGTTTAGATTGGATATTTGGGATGACTTCCTCATGGAAAGGGTGGTCAGGCATTGGATGGGGTGGAGTCCCCATCCCTGGTGGGATTTCAAATCCCTGTGGATGTGGCACTCAGGGACACAGGGCAGTGGTGGCCTTGGCAGCGCTGGAGGAACGGTTGGATTCCATGATCTCAGAGGGCTTTTCCAACCTTAATGATTTCGTGGGAGGGATTTCCAGGGTGTCCTGCCCTGCCTGAGAGGTGGAAACCCAACCTGTGAGCGCTCCAGGCCCGAGGTCTCCGGGCACCAACCTCACCTGTGGGGGCAAAACGTGAGGGCAAACCAAGGCCCTGGCAGATCCCAGACCTCAGACCAGGATAGATCCATCCTGCCAAGACCTCAAATCCAACCAAGCCATCGTGCAGGATCAACTGTTGGAGCCTCGTTAATTGTCTCCTCGTTAATTATGCCAAAACCACCCTGGTTCATCGACTTTTGGAGGCATACGCCCTGCTTTTGGAAGTCTGATGGGACAGATAAGCTGGGAGCTGGTCTGGAGTCGGTCAATTCATTCCAGAAAAGTCCAGTCAGGTTTTTCTGACATCACCCTTCTTGGGGTGGATGTGTGGAGATTCACAGAATCATGGAATCACGGAATCAGCTGGGTTGGAAAAGCCCTCTGAGATCCTCCAGTCCAACCCTTGATCCAACCCCGCCGTGGTTCCCAGCCCATGGCACTGATGTCACATCCAGTCTGTCCTTAAACACCTCCAGGGACGGAGAATCCCCCACTTCCCTGGGCAGCCCATTCCAATGGCTGAGCACCCTCTCTGCAAAGAAATTCTTCCTGATATCCAACCTAAACCTCCCCTGGCACCGAGCCGAAGACCGAGCCCTCTTGTCTTGCTGATCCCTGCCTGGGAGAAGCGTCCAAGGCCAGGTTGGAGCAACTGGGGCTAGTGGAAGGTGTCCCTGCCCACGGTAGGGATGGAACTAAATGATCTTTAAGGTCCTTTCCCACCCAAACTGTTCTGTGATTCCATGGTTATGTGTCAGAGATGAGGAAAAATGTGTTTTTGGGGGGCTTTGTCCTGACAAAAAAGCACGATGGTGTTTTAATCACAGATCACAGAACCCCAGAATCAGCTGGGTTGGAAAAGCCCTCCGAGATCATCCAGCCCAACCCTTGATCCAACCCCGCCGTGGTTCCCAGCCCATGGCACTGGTGCCACATCCAGTCTGTCCTTAAACACCCCCAGGGATGGAGAATCCACCCCCTCCCTGGGCAGCCCATTCCAATGGCTGATCCCTCTCCATGGAAAACATTCCTTCCCGATGTCCAACCTGCCCCTGCCCTGGCACAGCTCGAGGCCGTGCTTTGTTCCTCTTTTACCCTCTATTATCCTCTAAAAAGTAGATTTTGTGTAATAAATAAATAATATAATAAATAAATAAATAAATAAAATAAGCTCTTTTGTCTGATCATTCACATAAAACAAACTCTTAATTTACATAAATATTCTCATTTTGCCATCATTAAAACCCACGGGATAAAAGCAATTCCATCGCACCTCTTATAACTCCTTCAACTCGAACCCGGCGATTCCTTGGATTTAACACAATCCTGGGTTAAACCCGGGTTTAGGTGCACCAAGGCCTGGCTTTTCCATGCCTTTACCTGTCCTGCCCAGGGCGGCCACGGGCTGGCTGGGCCCCTGGGGGTGCACGGCGTAGAGGATGACCTTGTATTCCCTGTCCTCCTGCAGGTTGTCCAGAATGTGGGAGGAGATGTCGCCCTGAAGGACCTGCTCGTAGGTCAGGCCTGGCCTGTTGGCTGCAAAGGAAAGGAAAAGGGGGAGGGGGAGGCTTAGCCTGAATCCTGCAGTGGTGACTGTGATATGGAGAAAAAGAGAAAAAGGAAAAAAAGAGAAAAAGGAAAAAAAGAGAAAAAGGGAAAAAAGAGAAAAAGGGAAAAAAGAGAAAAAGGGAAAAAAGAGAAAAAGGGAAAAAAGAGAAAAAGGGAAAAAAGAGAAAAAGGGAAAAAAGAGGAAAAGGGAAAAAAGAGGAAAAGGGAAAAAAGAGAAAAAGGGAAAAAAGAGAAAAAGGGAAAAAAGAGAAAAAGG